TTAAGTTCTTCCCCACAGATTTTTCCACTTTAATACTTTCTTAACTTCCCAGTATAATGTAAACTTAACTTCCCAGTAATGTAAGAGTTTTGATGCTACCAGATGGGGAAATGAATGCTGGAAACTACTTTATTTTTGGGGGGGGGGGAGCCCAAGAAATTCACTAAGATTACCTCACTAATAAACAACACTAACTGTCATACAATATCAAACCTAGTTTGAAAGGATTATTCTCACAGATAAAATAAGAAAGACTCTTGAATATGGACGTTAGCCCCTTAAAAAAAATCTCATTTTTTAGTGTCTGGTAGTAAATGTATAAATTGATTCTCTATTAGGATCATAAATGAAGTTAAAAATCAAGTGTTTCATGAGCAGCCCCAGCACACATAGTTTCCCATGAATTCATGTCATCCTTCTACAGGGGCCACAAAAATTTTCCTTATATTGTTCTAGTTTTAGTGTGTGTGCGCTGCCTATGCATGTTTAAATCCTTTTTATATTATTTTTCTTAAATCCTTATTTTAAAAAGTTAATGGCCACATCCAACAAATTAGAAAAACAAAAAATGGAAATGTTCATTGATGGAGGGGCTTTGGAAAGATAGGCATACTGATACATTATTGGTGGAGCTGTGAATTGTTCAAGAAAAGGGACTCAATTTCTCACACCCTTTGATCCAGAAATATCCTAATAGTTATACCCTAGGTCAAAGATAGGAAGACAATTCCAATTAATGGTAAATTGATCCTAGCATTTTTTGTGGTGGCAGAGAACCTGAAACAGATGTTTATCGATTGGAGATTGGCTAGATCATGGTAGGGGTATGTAATGGAATACTAGCAATGAGTGAGGAACTGAGGAGCATTGTGGGCTTTGAGTGGGCTTAGACTCAGGAACACTTGGGTTCAAGTTCTGATTGTGACAATTATTTTTTGATCCTGGGCAAGTCTCTAAGATTATAAATTGCAGTGAGGGTGCATCTGACCTTTGTTGCTGGAGGGAGTTCCCTATATCAGTGAAATCACAAGTCCAATTCTTATTTCTGTTTAACTCTAAGAAATGAATTCAAAGAGACAGCTAGGTGGTGCAGTAGATAGAGCACTGGGCATGGAGTCAAGGGGACCTGAGTACAAATTCAACTTCAGAACAGACACTCGATCCTTACTAGCTCTGTGACTCTGGGCAAGTCACTTAACCCCAATTGCCTCACAAAAAAAAAAAAAAAGAAAAAAAGAAATGAATTCATAGAAATGTGTAGATATATATGAACCAATGTGGAGTATGCAATACAAAATGCAAACAGCTCTGTACAAATAAGAAGTATGCAGGATAAATTAGAAATAATCTCAGAGGGAAGGTTCCAAAATATAGAGATTAAGAAGAAGGACTCGGAAAAGACTTCTTGCAGAAGGGGAATTTTAGCTGAGACTGAAAGGAAACCTGGACTGACTACAGTAATGAAATGAACACTAACCTACTAATTACAATGAAAAAGACACTAAAAGGAAGTTGAACTCTTAGTAATAACCAAGCTTAATCCTCAAGAACGATAATGAAACCTGTCAGAAAGCTTCATTGTTGGCTGTTTTTTTCTTTGTTATAAGAAGAGTTCAATTCACAGTGATTATTAGAGGGTGGAGGTATATTCAGAGGACACTAAAAACTAATCAAGCGTTTTAAAAATGTGAATGATGTCCCATATGATCATAATAATGTACTGACCTTTACTTTGTAAACTCACCAAGATCTCATTTTTGGAATTGTGATCTCCATATAGAGTAGAAGATTTTATTAAAAGGTGTTTTCTGCTTGCTTTTACAGATTTGACTTATAGTAACTAGTCTCAAAATTAGTTCCTGTATGTTACAAATCACTTGTAATTGATCAAAAATAGAACATTAAGACTAACTTGATTCTTATTTCTGAATGAAACTCAACGATGTGGATATAGTTCTTCTTAGTATTTATTATGAGAAGAAGCTTCGGAGTAGAGTAGTTTTCAAAGAGCTGGCCTAGGATGAAAACCTAGGTTTAAGTCCTGATTTTGAAAAATTTGAGGGTGTGGCCCTGGGTCAAGTTGCTTAAAACTCATTAATGCCTGAGCTGTTCTGAACACTAAAAATTACATTGACTGAGGGTGTTTCCTCACTGGAAATAATCATAAATCCAGTAAAAACAAATAAATAAATAAAGGTTTTATGGCCATATTAGAGCATTATATCTTTTCCCTCTTTTATTGTAAGTCAGCATTTATTAAGTGCCTACTAAGTGCCCCATGATTTTGCAGTCATGGGGCACTTAGTAGGCACTTAATAAATGTTTTACCTTCTATGGTTAAATTGTTTCGTGAATGATGAAACAGTTTCTAAGTCTATCAGGCTGCTTTTATGTTGTAAATAATGTTCCAATTAAGACAAAGAAGTTAAAAGATTTTTTACTTTGATATAATTGACACATTACCTATAAAATCTGTCCTCTTCCTCATTCATTATAACTCATTTACCTGATAACTCATCTAAAAAGGATTATATGTCAAAAGGTCTTCTGTTGAGTTTTGGTGGGGCTCTTTCTTTTCTTTCTTTATTTTATGTCAACATGTTATTTAACCTTAATAGCATTATTTCAACAACCAGTCATGCTTGTTAAGATGGCAGTCTCGAGGAACTCAGAAAAGATTAGATTTTTGCACATGACTGAAGTCTCAGAGCTAATGTAAATGTGGCCTTTAGATGATCAATAAACCATGAGTTTGTAGGGTAATCTGCATTTCTTTGGCCATTTCCAAGTTTTAGCAGACCAGAGAGTGGAGCTGTCTGAAATCCCATCTCCTCAAACTCTTCCCTTGGCTGCAGTCCCTGTGTACCAGCCCCTGTCAAATATTCTGTACTCCAGCCAAATTGATTTACTTATTTGTTTACCTATTTATTTATTTGTTTATTTATTTATTTATTTAAAGTTTCCCCAAATGCTTCAGCACCTCCCTGACCTTGCTCATTCCATTTCCTATGTCTAGAATGCCTTCCTTTCATTATTGTTTGTTGAAATACAAACCATCTTTCCTAACCCAGATCAAATGCAATTTGCTCCAAGTTCTCATTGCCCTCCCCTTGGAAATGACCCTGAGGTACTTTCTACTGCTCTTACTTGTCTTATTCTATTTTATAAAATAGTTATATACTTGACTTATCTCCTTTATTCGAATTTAAACTCCACAAGGGAAGAAACCAGGCTTTGTATCTCCTTCAGCACTTAGCACAATGCTTTACATATATTAGGCACTTAATTTGGCTACCTCTTAGTTCTTACCCTCAAGGAACTTTCATTCTAATTGGAGGAGACACCCAGGAGGGCTGGAAAGGAAGGTCATCTTGGAAGGGACAATATGGCAAAGGGGAGTAGGGGATAAAAGTCTGAAGAGAACCGAAGAGAGTCAGTACAAGAAACAGTACTATGATATAATGTTAAAAAACAAAACAAAACATCTTAACATTGGTTTGAATACTTACAAAAAGATTCTAGAACCATGAATTGAATTTTTTCAAAAAAGACAAAAAGTTATTATTTTGTGATTTGTTGAACAGCTTGACCGAATATTTTCAAGATGGGAACAAAACAGCGTTCACAGGAGTTTGCAATTGAAATAACACAGACTAAACAGTTTGGACATGTTAAATTTATTGTTTCTGTGTTCAGTAAAGGAAGTGGCTTATCTGTAAGGGTTTTCAGCTCCACCCTTTCTGTTAGGGGATGATAAACAAGGGCAAAACATCTACTGAAATATTCCATAGTGGGGCCTGCTTTTGGGGTTTGCAGTGATTCATACAAGGATGCTCAGGAGGAGCTCTGGTTTGGGAAAGAAGATGTTGGAACAAAGCAGAGTAAGTGCTAAGAGAAAAAGCTGGTGCCTCAGCAATGAATACTTTTCCATTCCATTCTGTGAATGGTGTAAGCAAGATAGGACAACAGGAGCTGTTTATTCTTGGGAGTGGGGAATGTGTTACTGAGAACACACACATTTAGAGTAAAGCAATAGCTTCAGAGGAAAGGTAAGAAATATTTAATAAATAAAATTAATGTAATGTCTAACATTTCCTTGGCAGAAAATGTTAGAAAACTACCTCAAGTCTTGAGATTAAAATTTCTAGGTTAGGGAGCTACAGCTTCTCCAGTGCCAACATCCTATTGTAATCATCGAAAAGCTGTTTAGTTTCTGTGCTATATCCTGGCCTGTCTCCCTGCTTCCCGGGTATCAGTACAATGCAGACAATATTGTAATAATGCCAATCTCACTGGACTACATTCCCTTGCTTTCCCAGCCACATAAGTTGCTGGCTATGTGAAAATTATCATGATGGCAAACTGTCGTTACTAAGGTCTTCAAGGAAAAAGGATTGTTATTAAATCCAATGTAGTATTAAGTGCAATAGTGTTACCGCTCACAGAGTATTATTAATTATAATTGCAGAATACCATCAAAGGGCGAGTGGCTGTTTTTCAGGGCAGAGAGCATAGTTACTAATAGTAAGGAGTGATTTTGTTTTTATTTATTTATTTGGGAGTTCCCTACTCAGATCCTTCAGTTTTCCTCCTTGGCGTCCTTCCGGTCCCCTGGGCGACGCATACAAACTGCTGCTCCACTTTCTCCCTGCATTTGCGCTACCAGCTGGTGGCGCCCTGACTCCGGGGTGGTGAGAACCCGGACCCCGGCTCGCGGTCTCGCTCCCTCCTCCTCGGCCCTCCCCCCCCCCCCTCCCCCCCCTCCCCCCCCTCCCCCCCTCCAGCCTGAGGAGCGTCCGCGCGCGCGCACGTGAGCTAGCGAGCGCGCGAGCTGTCAGTGCTGCCCCGCCCTCTCCGCGGAGTCTGGCGGCTGCCGCGGCTGCCGTTGGCTCCTCTGGCCATTTTGCTGAGGAGCGGCGAGAGGGGAGGAGGCGGAGGTAAGGGCTGGGGAGGGAGAGAGCCCTGCAGCCGGCGTCGGCCGAAGAGGCTGCGGGCTGGGCTGGGCTGGGCTGGGGGCGGCCCGGTTGGAGGACAAGGAACGGAGCTTCGGGCGTTTGGAGTCGCCCGCCCTGGAGTCTCGGAGCTCGAGCTGAGGAAGAGCGGGAGAAGAGGGGAGGGGGGCGGCGGCGGCGGCCTTGGACGGGGGACTGAGCACTGGAGCTGGACGCAGATCTCCCCTCCCCGCCCCCTGCACCATGAGCTGGGGCACCGAGCTGTGGGTGAGTGCGGGCTCCTGCAGTCTCGGGCAGAGGGGGGGCCCTCGCGGGAGGAGGAAAGGACTTAGGGGAGGGGGCGTGGAACCTTGAGGGGGCTGGGGGAGGGGGCGTGAACCCTGCTGGGTAGAGGGCCGGAGGGAAGGGAGCGTGGAATCCTCTCCTTGGGGAGGGGCGTAGAAGGATCCTCGCTGGGGGCAAGGACAGAGGGGAGGGGGCGCGTGGAATTCTCCCAGGAGGGGAGGGGGTTTGAAGGAGAGGGGCGCTTTCCTCCGCGGGGAGGAGAGGTTCTGACGCGGGGAGGGGAGGAGTCCAAGAATCTGAGGGGCTCTGTGATTACTATGTTAGCTCCCGGGGTAGGAGGAATCCCCTTTTCCTTGGAGAAATGAGGGGTGCAGAAGTGCTGCGTTATTCTGGTGGGGAGGGTGTTACAGTTGAGGAGTGGCTGTCCTCCCCACCGCCACCCCCCTTCAGCCTGAGGGGACACTGCGGGGGGCAGGGGGAAGCCGGTGCTCTTGGCTGGAAAAATGCTTCAGATCGGATTCGGGGTTACTGGGAGCAGAAGCAAGATCTTCCTCGTAAAAAGGGTGTGGGGGTTTTAGGAAACTCTAGTAGCTCTAGGGAAGAGAGCTCTGATCTCGAAATAGGTGTGGGTGTGTTGGGGAGGGGAAAGATTTGGGGCTGGAGGAGAGGTGCTGTTTATTGCCCAGGAGTAAAAAACTTGAGATTTTTTCTCTTAGGGAAGAAGGAGCAAACCTTGTGTCCTTAACATGAGGAAGGCGCATATTTGAGGTGAATTATCTCGACCTCCAGAAGAAATAGCTAGAAATGGGGGAAAGCGAGCGCATTGGTAAAGGCAGCATGAAAAGGTGCAGGAGCAGGTTACCGTTGGCTGCTTTCTGTGGAGGGAGCTTTGGATTTTTGGTTGTTATCTTTGAAGAGGGAAAAAGAGCTTTGTATTTGGAAGCTCAATTGCTGGGCCTGATGGTTTCTGGAGGCAAAGGGCTGCTGTCCATGTTATTAAATCAGGACTAAGGAAGCTGGGGACAGTGGAAAAGACTGTTTCTCTAAAGGTTTTAGATGGGATGGAAGGTAAAAGGAACGGTTGTGCGTTATTTGACCTGAGTGCTATTTACAAGTTAGAATTAAAATACTGTGAATAAGGGCGAGGCAATTCCCTTGGACCAAGTACTAAGTACCTCATTTAACATTTTAAAAAATAAGATTCTGAAGCATTTTGAGGGGAAAAGGTCGAGGGAGGGTAGTGTGAGGCCACAAAATCTCCAAGGCAAGATAAAACAAGGTTAAAGTTTTTACAGAAACCTAGTGCATAGTGGCATAACGGTTTTTACATAATCATTTCTTTGCCGAAGCCTTGAAAAGGCACAAGCAAGCCGCAACCTCAGAGGAAGAGAATTCATTAATTATATAAACTCACTGGTGTCTTAAGATTTGCTTCTTATGTTTACAGATACACCTTTTGTAACAGAGAATCAAAATATTTGAAAATACCTACTTAGAAGAAATGTAATCTACTCCTTTTAAGTATTATATCACTTGATCACTTTCTTTTCTCCTTTTCTATTTTTTCTCCACACGGTCCATTTTCTAATAAATCTGAAGAAAAATGGGGTGGGGTAGGGTAGGGTAGGAGCATATTGAGAATGACTTTATGAGGAGACAGTAATTTGCACCGTAATGGTGGAAGAGAAACTACAATGAGTTTTTGGGTAGACATATAATTTTAGGAATTAGATATTTATCAGAAGTGACTAGTGTTAAGGTGACAGCTGCAGAGAAGAAAATTGATAAAATAATTCCATTTGTCCTGTGTTTCCCCATTTTATTTTGCCTGCGCACTTGGACAGGATAGGTGGAGGAAAGTTAATTGGAAAATATGTATGAGGCAGCATGGTATACAGCTAGTCTTGGAATCAGGAAGAGCTGGGTTCAAATCTCACTTCTTAATTTTAATAACTGTGTAGTAAGACTTAGGCATATACTTAGTGCTTAATAGATGGTTGTTGATTGAGTCCTTATCTGAAAAATGGAGTATGCCTGTAGTATTACACTGTGTTGTTGTGGGGCTCAGGATTATGTATATGGATGAGCTCATCCACTACAAAATTTAAAGTCCCTATGTAAATCAACTATTATTATAGTAAGAGGAAACAATTACATTTTCTTATTTTACCTACTGTGACTTTAAGACTGTGACTCAGTCAACATAAATTATTCAGTTCCTTTTATACAGAGTATCATAATAGTGTTAATGGGAAGAAAATAAAAAAATACCTATACTAGAATTACTCTGTCCTAGAGTAGCTAATGGAAAAAAGATACAAATTCATGAGTTATTAAAGCAAATTAGCAAAAGTAGAAACCACACTTTATGTGGAATAACAGCCACAAGTGCTCTTAAAAAGATAAAACACAAGCATTCATAAATGTGGCAAATTGTTTTAAAGTGCCTTCTTTTATCAGCAACCATATGTGAACATGTTTTGTACTTAGGGAATTTAGTAAATCCCGAGTTCAAACACTATCTCCTACTCATGTTAGCTCCATAAATATGGGCAAATCACTTAACTTCTCTGAACCTCAATTTCCTCATTTGTGAAATGGGGCTAGTGTTGCCTTTGGCCCCTACTTCACAGGTGCACATGGTATATGTTTACATTTTTAGGGCCGTTACAGACTGTCATACTTGCTATAAAATATTGCAGTATTTGTGAAACCCTATGAAATGCTAAGATTGCCTTCTAATAAAGACCTCTCAAGTTACCTGTCTTTTCAATTCTTCCAAAGTACACTTTTAAGGACCTGTCATTATGTTATTAATATGTGTATAATCCCAGACTCACCATTCAGAGAAAGCATAGCAATCACTAGCCCCCATCATGCTGCCAGACATCGTAAACATCAAGTCTTTTACCAAAAATGCTTGGGAATTTAGAGCTTAACTTTGCAAATCAATACTAATAATACCCGACATATAGGACTTTAAGGTTGGTGAAACATTTGAGTACTGAAGTAGTATAAACACAATTTTACACAAACTTGAATACTATTAAACTAAATTTACCTCTTATCTTTCTTTTCCCCAAAATCAGCATTCCACTTATGTGGCAAAAATATACTGATAAAATTAAATTCAGAATTAATACCCTCAAAATGTGACAAAACTAGAAAGATTGAATTCATTCTATAATTTTTTGATAATATGTTGGAATTTCATCAATCTATTTCATATAGCAATTCTTTGCACTTATGTACCAGTAATTGTGGCATAGTAGATAGAAAGCTCACCTGGGAGTCAACAAGCCCTGAATACAAGGTCCTTCTCTACCACTTAAACTACTTACTGACCTTGACTCCAAACAGGTCAATTAATCTACCAGTATCCCACTAACATCAGCGGAAAATCTTTAACAGTGGGAGTGTCTTCACCTGGAGTTCCTTTCACCAATGAGGGCAGCTAAGTGGCACATCAGCCCTGAAGTCAGGATCCAGCCTCAGACCAAATACTTGACACTTACTAGCTCTGTGACCCTGGGCAAGTCACTTAACCCCAATTGCCTAAAAATAAATAAAGAAATAAATAGCATCCCTTACACCAGTGAAATCACAGGTTTAGACCAAAAAAGTGCTTTATACCTTTGAAAACTGTTAAAAAAAATTTTTACGTCCCATATCAAATAAAGAGTAGAGTATTGGTTTATTTGAGACTCAACTGAAATAATATATAGAAAGCTCTTTCCCAAGCTTAAAGTGATATGCTAATGTTTTTCTTATTGTTAATAATTCAGAAAATTAAACTAAAAATTCACAAATTCTTTTTGGTCATATAGGATGCCTACTGTGTTTGGCAGCATAATGTTGGCTAGTGATTGAGGACTTTATTTGAATGGTGGCTTTGGGATTCTGTGCATACATAATGACATAATGATAGGGTGGTAAAAGCTAACTTTGGCAGAACTGTACTCCAATGGATGGAAAAAAATGAGCTGTGATTTGGGTGGTCTTATGCTAGTAGCATAAAGTGATTTTAGTATTTCATAGAGTTTCACAGTACTGACATACCTCACCACCACGTTAATATGACAGTCTGTAGAGGCTTTTAAAATATACATTCCCTTCACGTGATTAGTAAATTATAGCATAACTATTATGGATTTGACTGTATCACATGTTGAATTATACAGAATCAGCTTTAAATTAGAGCCTAATAGTCCATTTGTATCTTACTGACTTGGTTTTAACCATCATTCCAAATATCAGTTATAAAAGAGTTCCACTGAATTTGTTCATGCTTCTAAATTGACTTGTTTATAGACTCTTGCTACTGAAGACTTTAGAAAGTGTTATAATAGTGCAAAATTTAGTAAGCTACTACCTAGGACAGGGTTTCTTAACCTTTTTTGTATCATGATCTCCTTTAGCAGTCTGGTGAAAACTCTGGAACCTTTCTCAGAGTAATGTTTTTAGTTGCATAAAACAAAATACATAGCATTACAAAGAAATCAATTATTTTGAGATAGTTATCAAAATATTTTTTAAAAAAAAACTTCATGGAACCTAGGTTAAGAGCCACTTATGTAATAAGGTACATAGGCTAATAAAAATAAGTACCATTATAGAAGCTTATGTTTTTATTCATCTTAAGAGAGCAGGTGAGATGCTATTAAAAATTCCTTTTAAAACATATATTTTTCTTTTTTTAATTAATTTATTTTGAATTATCAACATTTGCTTCCATAAGCTTTTGAGTTTTCAATTTTTCTCCCTCTCCTTCCCACCTCCCTCCCCAAGACAGCACGCAGTCTGATATAGGCTATGCATATACATTCCTATTAAACATATTTTCACATTAGTGATGTTGTAAGAATTAGAACCAATAGGAGGAACTACCAGAAAGAGGAAACAAAACACGACAGAAGAAAAAAAATAGCAAATAGTATGCTTCGATCTGCATTCAGACTCCATAGTTCTTTCTCTGGATGTGG